CACGTGTGAGCTGTCCACAGGGCGATGCAGCCTGTGGTAACAGACGAAAAACATTACTGCAACAACAAATTGTATATGCATTTGAAGAACAACATGAACATGATTACGCTGTGGAAGTGGATTAAGAATAAGAAAACATGAATGCCGACCGGGGAGCGACCACTGAAAACGATACTTCGCTGGACCCCTCAACAGTTAGCTGAGATGATGGAAAACGTCGTGGAACATGCAGCGAGGACATCATTGAAACCAACGGCAGTCTCGAGGCGACGCTGAGTGTGTATATCGCCGTGGAGAGGAGGCGCAACGCTGAGCTGCACTTGGTGACGAGCCATTGCAGTCAAGTACGGGATTATCGAGGTCATCATGTGATCGACCGATGCCTCCGTACTTTCAGCCGGCATGGCGCGCAGCGAATCTTCGGTGAGTGGTGGCGGACCACCAGCTGGGGCAGGAGGAGCAGCAGGAGCCATCTCCGCGGGTTCAGCGACGACGGGGAGTGCTGCAGGAGCTACCACAGGGAGTGAAGAGTCCGGGGCAGCGGGCGCCGGAGGGTCGATTGATGACGCTGCTGTCGGAGGAAGTGCAGCAGACTGAGGGGCGTTCGAACCCTCGGTCTTGCTCTCCTAAGAAACAAGTCGAGTAATGCGAGGTGATGAGCAAGGTACCGATGATTTAGGAGAGGGATGGGCTTACGTACCTCCAGCTGCTCACGTTCGCGACGTCTACGAGGATTGAGACGCTGAAAAGCGTCGGACACGGCTCGATTCAGACGCTTGGACATACGGTGACGAGATGGTGAATTGAAGAATGAAGAAATGTCACAGCGGGCACCAGTACCGTGGCTTCCATTGCGACAGGGGCAGTTGTGGTGTAGTGATTTCTCCGTAGTTGCGGATTATCACCCGTCGACAAAGACGTGACACCGCCTAAGATGTTCAAGCGACGAACCCTCGGTCAGGTGATGTACGGAGACGCCAAGGTGCAAGGGACTCGACGGCGTCACCTCCGAACGTTCAACGAGTATTGGATACGGGCATATGTCACTGAATCCAGGCTGTCCTTATTATTAATAATGGACTGGCCGGATTCGCATTCAGCGGACCATCTACGGTACGAACCCTCAGTGGCGGTTGGGATGAGTTCGCAGAAGACTCAGCGACCCTTGGAAGACACTTTCACCGTCTGGGACAGGGCGCGGACCGTTAAAGATGCTCATGCGACGGTGCAGACGACGCTTGGCATGCAAGAAGATCCATAACAGATCATTGCTCACTTGATATTTGTATACTTGATTAGGACTTCTTATTAGGAATAGACCCGAAAGGGTAAGCTTAAATACAGAGTAGAATTTCCACTCAAGCACACAGAGCGACGTCCGGCTTCAAGGTAAGCGTCAGGTCAAGCTTGTTTGAGTGTGTTATGCCTGTCGGTGAACTCGAAGCTCTGTAGCGAGGGTTCATCCGGCAAGGCCAAGAGACTTTGTGTATTGGCCGATTATTATCGGGAGGTTTTACGTGACGGCTTATTGTTGCCTATTTGCACGACTGGGAGTGCTTGAATTGCCTCCCTTTTATTTCTTCCAGCCGAGTGTTGAACACTCGGTGATCTCGTAAAAGGCTTACCCGTGCCTGGTACCCTTCCGCTGTTGGGACCACGAGGATTCAAAACACCTGCTAGCTTTGCTCGTGCTAGTAGCGTGTTCTTATTTTACTGGTTGGCCTATATAAGTAGTTTACAAGGTCCAGTTTGTCCCGGTGCAAGGGCAGAACTGGGGTCTTCAGGTCCGCCCGAACGATCGTTTACTATCCTAGTAGACGTATTGTTGTGGGAACATCCTAGCTACATCTGTAGCTAGAGTTCACGTGGGATTTCCAACACCACAGTACTCACATCGGAAGCGCATACAGCGACTTCCTTATCCGTTATGGTCTGAGTGACCTTGCGTGGAACTTTGTTACCCACGCTCGGAGCACCGAATGTCGGTCTCCGTAAGCAGCTTCGCTGCTTATGGAACTTGTTACCCGCAATGTGGACCTATGTTACCCACCTGGTGAATGCCTTTCGGCACCACCACTGTCGAAGCGCATACGGCGCGACGACCTTTGGTGTTGGGGTCAGCTGACGCGGCAGATCCGTACACACACCGGACAGAGTTTGTGTCCACCGACCGAGTCAGAGGCGTCCGGGCCCTGGACCCCGAGTCCGTTGAAGCGACGTCTTCCTGAACAATGTTCAGACCCTACTTGCGGGGGATGACGTGACGTGGCACTTTGTTACCCACGTCGTGATGTCTCGTTGACGACATCAGAGGCACTCGAGACCTCGTGTTGCACACACAGGAAGCATGGACAATGCCCCCCTCTTCCGTTATAGCCTGGGCGACTGCGTGTGGTACTGTGTTACCCACACAGGAAGCATGGTCATGCCTTCCTCTTCAGTTAAGGTCTGGGCGACCGTGTGGTCCTAAGTTACCCACCTGGCTAGCTCTTAAAGGCATAACCACTGTCGAAGCCCGTACGGCGCGACGACCTGCGGCGTTGGACGTTGCTGGTGTAGCAGGTCCACACGCCGGGCAAAAGACCCACGCCCGTGGCATTGCCTCAGTGGAGCATGGTCTTGCTGTACGCAGAGCTGTCGGCGCATTGACAGCTCCGTGACGCTTCTGTGTCCTGGTGGTCTGTATCAGACGCCTCAGTCATGACGGAGGTGGGAACATGACTCACCAATGTTCCGTTATAGGCCTGGACTGGTAGGCCCTTCTCAGCCTTGCCACACCAAAGTCCGGGCTGTGCCTTATGTTCGGCACAGCCATGTTGTTCATGGCTAGAACTGCGAGCGACACCGCGGTGCGCGAGTTCATCGAGCCGAAACGTTCAAGTCCGTTGAGGACCATTGGTACTTCCTTCACCGTACCAAAGGCTAGTCCACCAAGGACCAGCCCACGACCGCCACTCTGACAAAGAGTGCAGTCGGGTGTCGCTATGCTAAGCGACGTTCCGGCGGCATAGCAACGCCCCAGAACTTATCAAACGTTCAAGGGGTACCGTACCCCCGTACACCGAGTTTACTACCAGCAGCCCATCACTGCCCTTCACCGGTTTGAGAGAACGACGTCTATCTGGGCTAAGTCTCGTGGTGCGCACAACCTGCACACCCATCACGAAGGCTTAGCGCCCTTCAGTAGGGCATACCGCCTCTACTGGTGGCCGGGGGTCTTCGTCCACCTGGCCGTGGCCTGCGCCACCGGACTTAGGGTCCACGGACTGTCCTACGGCGAGGGACACACACGCTGCTAGTGTCAATGCCCGCCGCATTCATAGCAGCGGACCAAGCTCTCGGCTGAGCTTAAGTCCATGGGCTAGGGCTCGGTGTACGCACCGGTATCAACGGGCTGCCTGACAGCAGGAGCAACAGCGTCATTGCTGCGATGCTCCGCCTCCCGATGAACGCCATTCTTATCGTGGCGATGCTCCTCTTCCTGAGGAGTACCAGCCTGCTTGTGGCTGTACTCTTCTTGGAGAGCGATTCGAATCGCCTTCTCCATAGTTGTCGCTTGCACCCGGAATAACTGGGTGCGAGCAGGACCGACCTTCAGGCCGTCCATGAAGACTGTTGTCTTGACGTCTTCAGGCAGAGGATTCCCTGACAGAGATGCCACCAACGTGCGCATCTCTTGCGCGTACTCCTGCAGCTCACATTTACCTTGCTTACACGCAAGAAAGCGTGAGCCCTGGCGGAACACATTGTTCGCCGGTAGGAGAGCGGCTCGAAGCTGCTCACACAGCTGAGCCCAGGATGCAAAGCATCCAGGAGATGTCGTCTCCCTGGTGTATGCCCAGTGCTTGGCATGCCCACCAAGGTTGGACAGGGCAAACACCACCCGAATTGGCTCGTCCGAGATGAGACCCGCCTTTATGGCGATCTCCACCTCACGGACCCAGAAGTGAAGGTTCTCTCCTTCCTTCCCCTCAAACGCGGGGACCTTCTGCCATACCGGCTTAGGCCTGGTTGCCTGGGGAGCGGCCATCGAGGCCTCCAAACTCCCGCGGACGTGAGCGATGAGACCACGCTCGTAGGTCTTAAACACAGTCACGCGTTCTTGTTGCTCGGCAGGCGTCGCCGCCGCAAAGCTGCGAAGGCCATCTTGTCCAAAGATGCCTCCCATCTTCCGAACAGACACGTACTGTGAGTCGTTCAAGCGAGGAAACTCGCTTCGGTCCATCTTAGCTCAACGTTGAGCGCACAGAGGATTCAGGTAGTTCAATCTACCCGCGATGGTGCTGGATTGACTACGGGTGCTACCAAGTGTGACGGGGTCACACAGCACCATGCACAGAGGAAGTGCTTAAGGATATTAACTACCCGAGTGAACGCTAGTCCACGTGTTCTCGGCCTCAAAGGGAAATGTTTGCGACTTAGAAGGGTAGATGTAAGACTGATGTACTTATAAGTAAGATAAGCTTGGGTCTCATACAAACTAGAGGTTACCTATATTGGAGCTAAGTAGACATGGCTCCGAGAGCACCTGGTACCGTGTACCAGGTGCTCACAAGAGTGACGGGTCACTCTTCATGTAACATGGGGCACACTGGATTGTACCTCGTTACATATATTTAGTTAGTAGTAGTGCCGTTAGTAGGAGCCCGGAGGTGATCTGGGCTCACTTTTGCTTTCCTTTGTTCTCGACAACCTCGAAACCTCGACGACATTTGGAGCTCGCCTTCTGGGACCTAGCGAGGCTCGAAAGTTAACATGGCTCATACAACCCTATACGCTCTATTTAAACCTGATGTCCTCGGGACGGTAGGCTACACTTACGGGAAGACATCTTCTGAGGAAAGTCAAGGTGTGTACGACATCGATCGAGTGGCTAGCGGACGATGGGAGGGCCTCGGCACCTTCACAGTCCAGCGATGAGCCCCGCAGGTGGAACAAAGGGGGGGGGTGACAAAAGAGGAAGCCTTGAGTGGGATAGGAACCTATGTCGGCAGTGCCTTATGCATCGCTCGGGTTCCGCACGGAAAGCCCAAGGTCTGGGATTACGGGGTGGTGGTCGGTTACACTTGGAATAACCTCGCAAATTCAGAATCTCTACAGGCTACGTTCGCGGATGGAACCAGCGACCTGGCTTTTAGCAGTGAAGAGCTCCAAGACTTGGTCCTGGAGACATACGCTCTCCGTCCGTGCTACCTACGGGGAACAACGGACGTCATGCCGGCAAAGATGCGGGCTCTTCACATCGCTGCCCATGGCCACTTCAATGGAATCGGTCAGTCAGCACGCAGAAACACGGGAATTGTGCTGAAGAAACGTTTGATGAATCCTGTGGATGAGAGTCAAATGGTGCCAGTCTACAACATCGAGACTACCCAGGTCGAAATTTTAAAGATATAACACATTCTAAGCTTTGTATACTATCATGAAGGCAAGCGGCGACCACCACAAGGACTGGTTGTACCGGGCTCCCTCTTTGGCTCGGCCGCCTCGGAGGCCAACACGGGTGGTTCGAGTACGCACGACTGTAGGCTGACCGATGGTGAGAGGCTAGAACAGTTATACGACTCAGAAGATGACCTTGCCACACCTGAACCTCTTCAGAAGGAACGTTCAGTTGGTTATCGTCCCAAACGGAACCGCGAAGAATCCCCACAACTGTCCACAGAGACCAGAGGTGAATCACGACTCTTTGCCTTAAGGCAGAGACTCGGTGATGATGCGGAGATGGTCCAAGAAATCGATCGGTTGATCGCGTTTCGCCAGGCAAACCTCAGCAAAGAAAGCTCAACGTCAGTGGTGAGCGCAGCAGCGAGCGATTCCAAGTCACAGCTCAGACCAGGCCGGCATCCAAGAGCTGTACACGGTGAAATGGTAAATGGTACGTATTGATGCTTGGATGATTAGCTGTTTGTAGGAACAATGCAGTCGCGGGCCAAGGGCTTTGATTATCTGCCACACCCGGCCTTTGCGCGAGGAATCTTTGCGTGGGACTTTGGATATCGTGGGCTTTCTATTCGACGTTTTGCGCCAATGGATGTGGAAGTGGAGCGTGACCATCTTAAGCGTTACGACATGACAGATTTCCCGCGAAAAGCAAGACTCTCGAGCCACAAGAACCAAAAGATCTCGCCGACGTTGTACCGGCGCTGGAAGTGCTGTCCCTGTTGGTGAATGAGATGTACACACAGGTTGTAGCAGATTTGGTCGACGCGACCATTTCTGCTGACTCTGCTTAAACCGAAAACTATGCAGGGGGCTGAAGCGGTCCCGAAGTTAGTGGCTTGAATTGATGACCGTTTTGAAACCTTTCGATCACAATTGGCTCAAGGAAATACGGCAGCCCCAGAGAGTATACGAGCCGACTTCCAGTTCAATCACGAGTCCTTTACACGAGTGGATTAACGTGTCACCAGCCTCAAGGTGGAAGCAGCTTTAAAGTTGTCACCGCCCCCCCCCCCACAAAACCATCGTCTCGCATGAAGAAAGCCAAAGCGCGCACAACAAACAGCGGTGCCCGACAAGAACGCCGAGTTCCCGTTCCCCCGGAGGTGGTGGCAGCGCTTCCGATTCGTTAAGGCAAGAAGCTGTGCATGAAGGTTTTGTCTATCGAAGGATGCCCTGGTAAGGAGACACTTGTGTGTTCGACTACCGAGGACACTTCGTACCTGCTAAATTACCAGTTACTGTGAGAAACTTCATTAGTAAAAGCTACGGGGGGGGGCTTCGGGACACAAATGCACCAGCGACAGGCAGCCAAGCGGAGGTGTGAAGGAGCCATGAGGTGGGCCGGATGGCAACCATCCTCAGGCCGATTGAGCAGCCTCCACTAATAGTGAAGTCCGGCTCGGGCGATACAAGGACAGGGAGCTGCAGATTAGCGCAGGACAAACTGTCAAATACCCATGCAGTGAGGCCAAAGAAAAGCACATACACGGATGGATTGATGCCACATAGCAATTGCATCCATGTCGAGGGGCTCAACGGGACGCAAGCTCACGAAGTTGGCTCTGGTCTGTCGCTGCATCAGGGGTGCAGTCAGGTGAGTCGGCCCTACGTGACTCAGGCTCACGCTTTGGGCGTTGTTTTGCCGCTGCATAAGAATTGCAGGTCGGTCGGTTGGCCCAACGAGGATTTAATCCCCAAAGGGCGGGATGTTGTACCGTTGCAAAGTAATTGCAAGTCGGTTCAGGGGTCTAATGAATCTCGTTGCCACGGCGTGGGCAGAAAGGAGCGTGGACATGAGATGCGGACTGTCGTGTCAGGGGAACTTCAAATATTCCTGACGGGTCAACAGCGCCGCTACACGCTGACGCTCCTAGCAAGTGAGAGAATGTTAGGCCTTCAGCGCCACCGCGCGCGAGATGGTCTCGCCTCGATCATGAAGCACTATGGAGTGGTTCCACCAACGGATTCGCCGGCTTGGGTTGTGAAGAATGGAGCGAGGTTATACCAGATTGACCGGACCAAGCAGTATGCGTACAGCGCGCTACTTCGACGGTAGAAAATGGGCCTCTCGACCTTATTCGATTGGTTTGCGGAGAAACCTCCCAATATCCACGTCCAAACAAGACCCTGACTGTTTTCGATCATATTCCTTGTTGGAGAACATACACGTACAAAGACGAATGGCGCGACATTGTGACGCATTTCGTTAGGCCAAAATTATCTACAACGTTTTCAAGCCAAACCCGGCCTCCACATAATTATGGCTCTGCATTACGAGCTCTTAATGCAGTTATCAAGAGCCTGAGGAAAGGTCAAGATGAAGACCGATACCTGATTATCGAAATTAATTTACTGCCTTCGCTCGAAGGAGTTACATGTAGTCCATTTGGGGCAGTGCATAAAGGAGATGCAGACATCACGGTGGGTGCAAGGATGATCCACGATCTGTCATGTCCAAAAGGCGACTTAGTTAATGATCATGCTCAGGAGGGCACTCAGATCCTGGTTACCTATGACGGTGCAGCTGTACTGGCTCGGCGGGTGCTAGATGTGGATCACAACCTTCCTGAAGCGGCTCGAATATCCACTGGAGACGTTGCAAGTGCATTTCGCAATATTCCAGTGGCTGTAGAATCAGCAGGTCGGTTTTCCGGGACAACTCCAAAGCTCGGTATATTAATTATCGATTTGGCGTGCCCGTTTGGGTGGTCAGATGCTCCAAGACATTACTGGGCGGCAGGTGGAGCGACCGTGCATTTACACAAGAACACCGCTCCACTGTGGACAGACCGGCATTTAGCCGGCGCCGATAAGTTTGACGGCAAGGCGTGGTGCGATGGCCACATTTGTATTGAGCCTGACATCGGCTCCCGGTTGGCGGAGGCGAGCATTTCTCTGAGATCAGCGATGGTGATCTCGCCGATCTCAGAGAAATGCTCGTCTCCGCCAGTTCTTGACCCGAACGCGTGCAATAAAGAGAAATTCACGCCGTGGTTTACGGAAGGGAAGACTCTTCGAAATCAGTGGAACCTTAATGTGATGACTCTTTTGATGCCCGAGGACAAAATTGCAAAAGCTCTTCACAGGATAAATGGGCTTCAATTGGCTCAACTGGCGTCCAAAACACAGCTCAATAAATTACTGGGCAGCCTACGGCGCGTGGCCACGTGTGTTCGTACGGCTACTCAATTTTTTCAGCGGATCGCGTCATTAGCTCGGACAACCACTCGTTATCGTCCTTCGTTAATATCTGAAGAAGCACGCGACGATCTGAGATGGTTCGCAGCAATTCTTTGTTTGGGACGGTTGAATGCGGTGCTATTCATATGGACGCTAGTGACCGTGGCTTGTGTGCGCTCTGGCCAGCTCGAAAAGAATATATTTAACTGATATTGGATGCGGAAGAACTACAACAAATCGCACATTGCAACGAGTCGACATCGGACGAGTTCAGCATAAACATTCGAGAGCTCATGAGTGCTGTATCTGCGGCAATTGGGTGGGTCTCTCAGTGGGCGCAGTCGGGTCAGAACGATTAGGCTCATACACGATTTTGGATCCATAACACTTCAGCTGTGGCATGGGCAAATCGCCGATCATCTCGAAATTCATTTTCTCAAATGCTGCTCCGGCTCATTGGCTTTCTCGAAGTACGCTACAACTTTTACTCGTCTGCAGCTCATATTCCCGGAGTCGAGAACATCATGGCAGATGCAGGGAGCCGGGTGTGACAATCGGAAGCAATGGCACGTTCGTTTGCTGACATGTCGTTTGCGTGGACACAGGTGGAGATACCATCGAGCTTAAGACAACTCTCCAAACTTGGGGTGCACTGCTCCGAGCTAAAGCTTTACCTGATACATCTCGCATACAGTATCGTCGCTCTTGGGATCAGTGGCTCAAATGGTGTAGCTTCATGGGTTAGAAGTTTTGGGCGCCTTGAAACGGAACCTTTATGTGATGCCAAGAGCAGCGCCGGGCTCAAGTTTTCAAGTTTCACCTTACGTACTACGAATATTAAGTACTTCATCGAGAATTGGCTAGCTCATCCACAGATGATGGACTGGATGAAGCAGCGTCAGTGCTCAATTCTTACCAGTGAAACCTACCGATGTGTGCCCATAGGATACCGATTGACTATCGAAATGATGTACGACCCAATATCGGAGTTGTACCTATGTTTTCACATGCTATAAGCTACATCGTATATTTAAATACCACAAAGAAATAAGGTTAAAGTTGTACAGTAACTACCCAAACGTAGTCTTGTCATGGGTCAAACTATGATAAAATTATGCAGGAGTTGCTAGTGATTCTAAGAATAAAATACGGTATTTTGTGCTACTAGTGCAGTGCACATGAGCTCTAATAACCATCTCCAGCACATATTCAGCATCATGTGGTGTTGCCAATCCCACGTGAACTCTAGCTGCAAATGTAGTTAGGAAGCTCTTACAACAATACGTCTGCTAAGATAGCAAACGATCGTTCGGGCGGACCTGAAGACCCCAGTTCTGCCCTTGCACCGGGTCAGACTGAATCTTGTAAGCTACTTATATAGGCCAACCAGTAAAAATAAGAACACGATACTAGCACGAGCAAAGCAAATAGGTGTTATGAATCCTCGTGGTCCCAACAGCGGAAGGGTACTGTGACGGGGTCACACAGCACCTTGCGCTAGAGGAAGTTATCTTCCGAGAGTATACAAACTCTCAGTGAACGGCAGTTCACAGGTCCCCTCTTTAATTAAAGAGAGCGAAGTGACCTAAATAAGGTAGATTGTAAACTGAGTATATTTATAGGTAGGTTAAGTTTGTGGTTAATACAAACTATCAGTTACCTATAGAAATGCAATGTCATTTAACCAATGGTTGGTTTTGAATGACCTTGGTACCTTGTACCAAATATCCCGGAGTATGACATGTCATACTCCTGAAGTGTGAAGTGTCACACTTCATGTAACCAGGGTACACTTAGTGCT